CAGCCCCCGTCGCTCTTCGGACGCGTGAAGACTTGGCACCGCCGCGACTTCCACCGCCGCCTCCACCCACGCAGACATCGACATCCAGGGCCACCCCGACGCCCGCGCCCACGACCAGCGCCACGACAGCCACGACAAGCACTACCCACGCCCCATTCTTGAACTGCGCTGAGCTCGGCTTCGACACCATGCTGGAGCAGGAGCACGAGGGCTACGCCGACGACGACGCGCCTCCGACTGCTCATCTCCCACCGGTGCCAACCAAAACGACGCCAGCAACCGCCGCCTTTGTTTGCGCCCGCGCCACCGCGCACTTCCCCACTCCAGCTCAACCACGTCATCGAAGCTGCCGACGAGCTTGCTGCTGCCACCAAGCTGCCGGGCAAGGCTAAGCTCAGGAAAGTGCGCCTCCGCGTGCTCGGCCCCTGCCGAGATCCTGCTGATGGCGCTGCAACCTGGACTACTACGACGCCCTGGCCGACCGCAAGGGGGCCTAGGCGCGCTGAGCGCTCCCGACGGCTCCGAGGATCCCTCTAAGAGGAAGTTCCAACCCTCGCGAGAACACCGACTAGGTAAATCGCGACTTCTCGCCTGCCTTGCGCATGCACGACAGCCAACCGCGCCCCCATGCAGGCCAGCGCTTCGCAGAGCTTCCAGCTGGACAAGGGCAAGATTATCTTAGGACCCGCGGGTCTACGCCCCATCCACTGCTTCGGCGTTTTCTGGCGCTGCTTCTACCGCCCTACGCGAGCGAGGATTTCCGACGCGACCGCCCGACTACGCATGCGGCGGCATCTCACGTCGACGACGCGAGTTCGGCACGATCGTCACTCGAGTGGTCGCCAGCAAGCTCCGACGGGCGGAGATCGCCTTCGCAGTTCGCTCCCGCGACGGCCACAGCGCCTCCGGGTGCGCCCGCCGCGACGCCATCAACGAGCGCGACGTCCCGACTTATCGCGACGGCGACCGCCAGTTTGCATCGCAACGACGCACGGAGATCGTCGATGCTAGCGACGGCACGCTCATCATGCGCAACCGCGAAGGAGGCCTCATGGGATGTTCGAACTAGCCCGACGCCATCATGAAGGTCTACAACCGCCAGCTCGAGCAATGGCGAACCGACGCAGCATCGACCCGCGCCAGCGTCATGCTCCAGCCGCGCGCTCCTACCTGGGACCCCGACGGGCCAGCGCAGGACCTCAGCCGCCAGGTCTTCGCTGATGACACCCTGAAGTTCCACGTCGCTCCTCGCGTCGGACCACGCAAACGAGCCATCGACTCCAGAGGTCCAGTGCACGACGCCAGCATCGACGAGATCCACGCCCTGACTGCCGCCGTCGAGCGCAACCTTAAGGTGCTGCGCCAGTCACTTCCCCAGGGGGGCTTCAGTCTGAACGAGACCTAGGAGGAGATTGTACACAGCGTCCCATCGAAGTCCCTGCGCCGCGCCTTCTTCGCCGACCCCCGCGTCAACTGCAAGAGACGGACCTCGGCGAAGCACGCGGGGGCGGGGGGCGGGGGGGGGGGGGGCATTTTCGACGCCAAAGCATCCTTCAACGGTGAACGCGAAGCACGACCACGAGCAGCGAGCGCAGGATGGTGCCAGCGCCGCCACTGCTGGTTTTAGCCGAGCCCCGCGCCGACTTAAGCGACTCGCATTCCAAGCCGTTGTCTATGAAGCCGCCATCAGCGCCGCCGAGACCTACTACCTCTACGCCACGGACTGCAAGAAGCTCGACATCTGCCTGGGCAAGAAGCCGCGGGCCACGCAACAGGGCGAGGGCTGCCAACGCCGCCGCGACGCGCACCGCAGGGCGATCTCCGCGGCCGAGGTTTGGCGCCGATGGGACGTCGTGCCGAGCTCCATCGAAGTAAAATTCAGACGGCCGAAACTACTTCAAGACGCTGTTGCACATCCTGAAGAATCCCAACATCTTGTCTCCGCTCTGTCCGGCGAGCTTCGCATCGAGCGCCTTCTGCGAGGCAGCGACCTCCCCGTCATGCCACTCGCTCTGACCGACGACGGCTACATAAGCCCCGACGCGCATCCGGTCGCCAGACATATGACCACCGACATCCAGGACCTCTTCACCTACGACACTGCCGAACACTTGACTGGCTGGATTGAAAGGGCAACATCATCACGCTGTTCACGGGTCCCGAGATCGCCGAAGCTTCCTGCGGGATCGACGTGAGCATCATGAGGGCTGGTCTGTGTATCTTCGGCGCGCTGTCGCGCCGCCTGGTGCCTCCGCCGAGCTCCCGTCGGAGTTCGCCCCATCCGACGAGGCCGAACTGTTCGTATGCGAGTTGAAAACACCAGCAGGGCCCCGTGCATGAGTACGCAGAAGACCGCACGATCACTTTACGCACACCAGCGAGGAATGGCACTACGGGGCGAACATGGAATGTGTTGCGTGCTATCTCAGCTCACGCTCACGAACGAGCGCATCATATGTAGGGCGACCTTCCCGACACGAGTGGGCGCACAACACCATATCAAAGCAGCATGGAGATCACACGCGCGCAAGGTAGACCAGATTTGGGCCCCGTATCACCTCGTAACTCCGAAGAGCCTCACATGCCCGATCTGCGAGGAGTCTGATGAAGAGCGCGCCGAGCTCTGTGGCCACCTCCGTAGTCATGTACTTCAGGGCGTCTTGGGCACTCACGCGCTTTCACTGAGGCCACGCCCTGCTGCGATTCCAGCTCGCGATGTCAACGGGCTCGGGGCTCCCGCGGGCAGCGACTGCACCTCGCAGACCGAGCTGGCGCACCCCGCGGGGGCCCCCCCCGCGCCTGGCGGCGGCGGCTCCAACGGGGCCAGATCCAAGCCAGGCGACCGCTCGAGGAGCCAAGGGCGCGGACAGGGCTCTCGCAAGAAGGCCGAGGACCAGGGCGTGGAGCTCGACGACCAGAATATCGACCCCAAGAAGGCCCCCATCGCCAGGGCGCCCCGCAGGAGAGGTGCTGCGTACAAGCCGAAGGTAGCCCCCAAGATCCCGAACGACATGCGCGACCTGATCCTCATCCTCTTGCGGGCGCCCTACCAGACACGAAGCAGATCAGGGAGCTCCTTGGTTGCATCATCGCGACCGTGAAGGTCAGCGACACGGACCAGCCGGTGGAAGCGATCGAGCATGAGAACCGCAACTACGCTCGGGCCATTCGCCGCGAAGGAGAATCACACGGAAGAGGCCCACCAGCACCAGTCGGGGCCTAAGAGATGGGGGTCAGTACAAGCGGGTGTCAGCCAGGGCACCGGATTTTGCAGGATTTTGCGAAGACCCCTATTTGGCTTACCCGGGTTTGCGAGCCGCTCGCGGCCGCAAGGCGGCCGCGCGCGTTGGCTGACCCGGGTTTGCGAAGATCTGCGTTGCAGTTTTTTTTTTCCCCTGCATTGCAGTTTTTGGTTTCCTGCTGACCCGGATCTGGATTGGCCCGGGTCAGAAGATCCCCGAACCAGGCGCCGCGATGGCTACGATGGAGACGCCGGCTCTGCAGGACACCGGCGCGAAGAGCATGGGCGACCTCAACGCCGCGATCGAGCGCATCAGCGCCATGGACCAGTACCAGATGCAGGACGTCTTCCCGATCTGCAAGCTCGAGAAGGCTTACAAGAGCGGCCAGGCGGATATCCTCTTTGACTGCAGGGACTACGAGATCAGGCAGTGCATCACGACAGCGCCCCACAACGCCGACAAGGCCGCGCGCGTGGGTCCAGCGCCAGCGGGGTTCGTGGAGGACGAGCTGGCCCCCTGGATGGATGCGCTGATGGAGGAGATCTAGACGGGACGACAGCGCACCTCCCCGCGATGCCACTTGCTTTCCCATGGTGGGCCAAGGTGGCGCCAGCGGGGAGGTGTCGCCCCCTGCCGCGACGCCTCCCTCACGCTGGCCCGTAGGGGGCCGTGATATTGCTAGCGGCATGGGGCCAACAGAATTGCCCGCAAGACAGCCTGCCGCGCCGCCTCTACCCGCGATGCCTCCCTCACGCTGGCCCGTAGGGGGCCGTGAGTTTGCTGGCGGATCGAGGTAAACCGATCTGCCCGCTAGACAGCTGCCTCCTCCCGCGATGCCCCCTGCGCGCTGGCCCGTAGGGGGCCGCGCAGTTGCTTGCTAGCGGGGGGGTGCAAACAGAACGTCCCTACAGACAGCCTGACGGGGAAAGGACTGCTGACGATGCCACCATCACTAGAGAGTAATCAGGCGCCTCAAAGCGACAGACGCCGAGACGGGTATCTGCACTCTACGTACCACTCCACTTACGCCGTCGCCTACGCCCATGCCTGCACCTTCGCCTACGCCCACTCCGACGCCGGCACAAACCCCAGCACCGACGACCCTGAGCAACACCGCAGAGAGGGCGAGGCTGTATGAGGAGGCCAACGCCTATCTGAACCCCGCCGAGCCTCTCTTCCTTGGGCTAGCTCGCGACAGGCGCGAGGAGCCCTGCACTCCTGCTCGAGGTCGGCTCGAGAGGAAAAGTAGCCACCCTCCACCAACCTCCTACTCCCCCCCCGCCCCCAAGCTCTGCTGCTGCCTCCATGCCGTCTACTCCTCCTCCTCCTCCTCGTCCTCCTCCTCCTCCTCCTCCTCCGTCTCGAAGCGATCGACCACTCCCTGCTTACAGCGCGGGGGAGAGGTCGGAGTCGCGGGCGAGGTCGTGGAAAGGGTCGCGCTGCGAGGTAGAGCTGTGCCCGGGCTCTCCGTATCCACACAGAGCCGCTCGCACCGCGCGAGCGGCGCCTTAATTGCACCGCTTTCGGGCGAGCACCGTCCAGGCCACATTTGTTTTTTCTGGAAATTTGAATCTTTAGGTGCTTCGGACATTCTTTGTTTGTGAGTGAGTGAGTGAGTGAGTGAATGAGTGAGTGAGTGAGTGAGTGAGTGAATGAATATATATATATATATATACATATACATATACATATACATATACATATACATGTACATGTACATATACATATACATATATATACCCCCGTCTCGCAAAGGAGGCGCTGGGGAGCGCGCGCGAAGCGGCCTCGCTGTTCCAGCAGGCGCCGACGGCGCGCAGGGAGGGGCGCATCGGGCGCTGCGCAGTGGGGGGTGATCGACGCGGGGGAAGGAAAGTGTTTGAGCCGTCTGGGGTTCTGAGGTGGACCAGCACTGGTTCCGGCCAGCAGGAAGGACTCGGCGGCGAGCGAGGGGGGGAGTGAGAAGGAAAAGGCCCTCTCAGAAGGCGGCGGTATTTCTCAGAAGGCCTCGCGCCTTCTGAGAGCCTTTGTTGTGCCTTCGGGATAGGCTTAGAAGACTTTTCAGAAGGCTGGGAGACTTAAGAGCCTTCTGAGAAGGCCCACCCGTTTTCACTTTCCCTGCTGGGCCCGCCGCCGAAGGACGGACAGGTTCGAGGCTCTAGGTTCGGGAAGTGTTTTTTGTCTTTTTCGGCCTCTGGAGGTCGTTCCAGGGCCCCAGGACAGTGAACAACGGATCTGGAGTGAAACTCCACCCCAGATAGACCCCAGGAGAGGTCCGGGGACAGATTTTCAGCCTCGCGTCCCAGATCTTCTGGAGTCCCAACGGGTTCAGTCCCCCCGGCCGCCTCCAAGAAAGGTGCACCCGTCGTGCACCCTTGTGCCCCTGAAGGGACCCCTCGGGGCCCAGAAGGTGAACAAAATGTGCACGCGGTTCGCCCCCCCCCCCCCCCCATAAACAACGGGGTCGAGCGTGCCGACAATCGCAAGCAAGCGGCCTACGTAAGGCGGCGCGTGCGCCCCCTCGTTTCCAATGTGGCGTGCCGCGCTGGCGGACCGCGAAAGCCGCCGCGCGAAGATTCGGGGGTGGACACGCGTAGCCTCAGTGAACAGCCCTTGTTGTGGCAGGAACGACCCGGGGCCAGACCCTGGCGGGTCCCGGACCTGCAAATTCTGCGGCCGCTCATCCCTCCCCCATAGACGGCGCCCAAGCACGGGGCGGGTGGGCGCGGGGTCGGCCCTCGGTTCGGAGAGCCCGGCCCTCTCGGGAGGCGCTGGGCTCGCAGGGCGCCCTCCTCGAGAGGGGCCGACCACGTCGTATGAATCGGCGGCGAGCCCAGGGCGGAATTGAGAGGTGGCGGGCCCCCTCCAACCTCCCCCCTGGGCTCGCCCCCAACTCAAGCGGGGTTTTGGGACCCCTTGGGCGACAGAAAGAACCGGGTTCAACGCTTCGGCGTTGCGGACATTCGCGCCTGAGTTGCCTGCGTAAGATGGCGCGTGCGCGCCCTCGTTGTCAATGTGGCGTACCGCGTTGGAGGCCCGCGCTGCGGTCGCTACTAATGTTGTTATCGTGCGTAAGACCTGTCTCCTTTCGTTGATGACACTTGCAAGCCCTAATTACAGGAAAGTTCCGGTTCGGTTCGGTTCGGTTAGGTTCCGAAGCGCCTCCGGTTCGGTTCGGTTCGGTTCGGTGTCGTAATCTTCCGGTTCGGTTCGGTTCGATACGTTTATTTTTTGTGTCCGGTTCGGACCGGTTCCTGTTCCGGTTCGGTCCGGTTCCGGCCAGATCGCCGTCGAGGAGCGGTTCCGACCCAAGGAGCTGGCTTCTGCCGCTCGGGGCCCCAATGTGGCCCCAAAGGGGCCCCAAACCCCCGAAGGGGCCCCAAAGGGGCTCCAAACCCGCATAGGGGCCCCAAAGGGGCTCCAAAGGAGCCCCAAATCCGCAAAGGGGCCGCAAAGGGGCCCCACGGGGCTCCAAAGGGGCCCCAAACCCGCATGGGGGCCCCAAAGGGCCCCCAAAGGGGCCCCAAAGGAGCCTCAAACCCCCAAAAGGGGCCCCAGAGGGGCCCCAGAGGGGCCCCAAAGGGGCCCCAAAGGGGCCCCAAACCCACATAGGGGCCCCAAAGGGGCTCCAAACCCCGTCATCGTCATCGTCGTCGTCGCCGCCGGTCATCCTCCCTCCTCCTCCCTCCGTGGCCAGTTTTCCGGTTCGCTCCGGTTCGGTCCGGTTCGGGCCAGTTCGGCGGGGGGAGGTTCGGCCCGGTTCGGAGTCCCGGTTCGGTTCGATTCGGTTCGGTGTCGTAATTTTTCCGGTTCGGTTCGGTTCGGTTCCCATTGACGAAAAACACCGGTTCGCGCCGGTTCGGTTCGGCCAGGTTCGGTTCGGCCAGTTCGGTTCGGTTCCGGAACCATCCTGTAATTACCCATTCGGGTCGTTTCGGCGCTGGTGTATCGGGCACCGCCGCTGGCTTTCACCCGGTTGCAGCAATCCTTCAAGCTCTGAGCCCCAGCCGTTCTGGGGGGAATCTGACCTGCAGGGGGAGTTGGGGTTCACGTGCGGTTGCCTACGGATGGCGACTGAAAAATGCCAGGGGGGGGCTTTACGCAGCAGCGCCGTGGGCAATGCTGAGTCAATTGGGTTCTGGCCCTGCTCGTGGGCGCCGTCGTCGTCAGTGTGATTGCGTGATCGTCCTCTCCAGAATCTTTCCCAGCGGCAGACACCTGTACGCTGCAGGTTCGGAGGTCCTTGTCTGTCCTCAGAACTCAACATGGATGTTTCTTCCTCCTGTGCCCGACGCGGATTTGATATAGTGTTGATCTGGGTTAGACGCGGATTCCGATCTGACCTGGGTTCGACGTGGGTTCGACGTCGATTCGATGCGGATTCCACGATTTCGACACGGATTCGACACATATTCGACGCGGACATCGGCGGAAGGTCACATTCAAGCTCCCCAGGAGATGCAACAAGACCGTTTTTAGTAACATCGTTCTTCACGCGTCTTTTTCATGTTCTCTCAACCGCCGTCCTGCATTGGGCCCCCTCTGTCTCCCCACGAGGCCATCCCCCTCGCTCTGGCGCGCCGACGCGCGACGCAACGCGGCGGAGTCAGGCAGGCGGCCGACTGGGCGCACCGGGTTCACCCATAGGGAACCGCGCAGCACGAGGGGGGGCAGCCGCGAGGGGGGGACGAGAGGGGCGGACGGAGAGAGGAGGGAAACGTGAGGGGACGCGCACACACACACGCGTGGAGAATGGCCACGAGTTCCTCTCTGCACCTCCGTGAGTGTGTTGCAGGCGGAGTGGGGGGGGGGATGACTAAGCGTCAGAGCCGCCTCCTCTCCAGCCCGTGTTCTGGCTTTGTTCCTGCCCTGCACTCGTGCAGGAATCCCGCGGAGGCGGAGCGCGCTCGGCGACGGGCCAACCTTGCAGCTGGGCTCCGCCCCACCCCAGGGAAGCGTCTGGGCCAGGGTCGGGGCCACCTGCAGGGGTCCAGAGTTGCCCAAGGGGCTCGTGCAGACCTCTTTGGGCCCCTGCTTGCGGTCCGGGGGCCACGCACTGTGCTCTCCAGCCTTGAGCCTCGAGAGCCCATGACCTCAGGGGCCATCTTGGGCAGGGCTGTGTCCGTTTCGCGTGTGGTTCGGACGCTGTCCTTTCGGTAGCTCGACGCACACACACACACACACACACACACACACACACACACACGCACACGCACACGCACACGCACACGCACACGCACACGCACACGCACACGCGCACGCGCACGCGCACGCGCACGCGCACGCGCACGCGCACGCGCA